ACTGATGGTCACCTCAGCAGCACAGGAGGCTGTGAGGGGTGCATGGAGCCCCCCAGGCTCTGCCCTGCTCTTGCTGGCTGCTGGGAGGCTGTTCCCAGTGGGAATGTGCTGTTCCTTGGTGTGGCTCCTTGTGCCACCCCTCTGTGCTGCACACCCACAGCTCATCCCCATGGCACACAAGGACAGAAAATCTCTCAGTCTTCTTTTTACATCTCTTGGTTCTCCCTGACTTTTTTCTCTGATTTTTCCTTTTTTTTTTCCACCAAGCAGGGAGAGCTCTGTGCCCCTCATTTCCCTGGAGGCCAGGGCAGAGCTGTCCCACGGAGGGAATCCTGGTGTCCCCAGGCAGGCAGAGCTGCTGGGTCACCTCTGTCCCTCCTCTGTGACAAAGCAGCGGGGACAGGGGCTGGGGCAGAGTTAACTTGCCTTCTGTGAGCTGTCACCTCCACAGTGTCACCTCGATGGCCTCAGGGTGAAGCTCAGCCTTGGTTCCTGGCTGGCTGTGAGCCCTGAGGGGCAGCTGGGCTCTGTGTGGGGGTAACCAGAGCTTCTCTGACACGAGGAACGTGCTGGGAGCATCCAGGCTCTGCTGGCAGTGGTGCAGATGTGCTGGAAATCCGGGAGCTCTGCAGGGCTGCAGTGCCAGAGGTGCCCCTGGGCTGAGCCTGGAGCTTCCCGGGTGTTTCCCTGTGCTGGAGCTGGGATGAGCTCCTGCCAGGTGAGAAATGGGTGCTGGCACATCCTGGAGCGTCTGTGGGGTCCAACCTGAGCATTGGGGGGCTCCTGTCCCCATTTGGGGTGTGTGTAAAGGACACAGGTGAGAAGAAGGATATCAGAGTGGGGCAGGAGTGAAGTTGTGTGTGAAACACCTGCTCAGCCAGAGCTGGGGCTGGAGGAGGTGCCCAGAAGGTGCCACAGGGTTGGCATCACCCAGCCACCAAGTGCCCAGGAAGCTGCTCTGTTCTTCAAGCCTTGAGACACATGCACAGGACAACCACGGCCCCAGCAGCCCCGAGGCCTGGGAGAAGGGCTGGGACACCTCCTGCTGCCACGGGGGCTGTGGGAGTGTCCCCAAAGTGTCCCACAGGGCTGAGGCACCAGGAGCCCTTCCCACTCGCACTCTGCCCACTCTCTCTGTCTCTCTCTGCTCCTCCTGCAGATTTTTGGATACCCCCAGGTGTTTCCTCAGCCTCCCACCACAGGGGGGACTGACCCTGCTGCTCTGGGAAGGGCAGAGCTGGACTCTCTCTCTGCTCCAACAGCAAAACCCCACGTGGGTTTCGGGGAGTGCGGGGTGGGCTCTTTCCTCCTTCCTCCTCCTCTTCCTCGCCTCTCCATCCTCCTCTTTCCTTGCTGTCTGTGTGTCTGCCCGCCCTCCCCTGTCCCCTGGCCCTGTCCCTGTCCCTGTTTCTGGCCGGGTGTCGCTATCTCACTCTCTGGTTCTTTGCAGATGGACGTAGTTTACACATTCCAGACCGGCGCCTCCTCTTTGCAGGGAGCCCTCAGGAGACAGCCTTCCATCGTGAGCCAGCACCACGATGTAAAAAATGTTTCTAGCCCAACCCATGTAGCTCTTTCCTCCGTCAATTCCACTCCCACCACTTCTGCTGTTGCTGCTGCTGCTGCATCTCCTCCTGCGGGCAGTGAGTGATGGTCTATTACAATGCATGATTTAATGAGCACAGAGAGCACCTGCACCCCCCTAACCCCGCCTGCTCTCTCTCCCTCTCAGCCTTGACTCGCACACTCAGTCCCAAACCTGAAGGATGGGGCGGGAAACCCTTCAAAACCCCGATTTTTAACAAAATTATGAACATCTCTGGTCCTTTCCCTCCCCAGTTCCTTGTTGCTTCGTCCAGTTTTACCTCTTCTCCTCCTCTGCAGGGCTGGTGTTTGTGTCCACCCTCCTCAGGGTGAGCAAAAATTGGCAGTTCTTGCTCAAAAAACCCCCCAAGTTCACGAGCATTGCTGGGAGGAGGGCAAGGCTGAGCCCAAATCCTGCTGGTTCTTCCCTCTGCCCAGCCCTGGGACAGCCCAGGGATGGGCAGAGGAGTTGCTTGAAATCTCTTGTGGAGGCAGAGTGGCCGCTGGCACTGTCCCCAAGGCTGGCTGAGCCACAGCAAGGAGGGACAAGCAGGATTTGCTCCTGCCTGTGGCTCAGCTGGTGACACCTCGGGGCTGCTGTCCCCCCTCTCTGTCCCCACCTGGGGACTTGCATGGCCTGGGGACATCCCTGGGCAGCCAGAGGATCCTCAGTGCCCACCTTGCTCTGCACACTCTGGATCGCCAGGGTGTGCAGACACTGCTCTGCATGGAAATGGGCATGAAAAACAATTCCTGCTGGATCCCAGTGGGAATTCTGGGTCCTGGATCTC